TTAAATGTTACAGTTTTCTTCATCTGTCTCTTTTTTTATGTACGGTGTAAGTATATAAAGAACGAACGTAGATTCTACAGAATCTATAATTACAATGTGACGTCATAATCGTGATATGTAATTTGGTGGTTTTTTTTTAATTGATATTGGAATGGTAACCCCGTCTGCGCTAACGGTATACGTTGGCGAGGCACCAGTGAGGGATGTATGATGAAAAATGAAGTTAAAAATGAAAAGGCAGGCAAGTTTACCCATCGTGATAAATACACTTGATGAATTCAATACGATGGTTTTCAGAGTTTTTTTTTTATACAACTTAGAATGGTAAACAAGCTGACGGCACACCTGATGGAAAGTGGTAACCGTCGCCTATAGACATGAGCAGTACCATGGACGTAACAGAGTATACTGTTTCGCCCATGATACCCCCCATGCATTGCCATTCCTGAGGACTCAGGTATTGAATTCCAGGTGTAATCATCACTATATTGCTAGCAACCCTACCCCCCCCCCCCCCACCCCCGAATTACTTTAGTATATAGTTAACTAGCTTTTTGCTCACTAATACGCAAGACTGGATTTCAGAATTAAATAATTAAATGAACTATATATGAAGTATCCAGATAAAACATACACAACGTTTTAAGTTAGGCCATTGGGAACACAACAATGTAAAACAGCATTCTATTTGGTGCAATTGTTTTTGTGTGATGCCGGAACAAACACACATACATATAGATAAAATTCCTAATAACCATTGTTTTGGCTTCTATTGAAAAATTAATGGTTTCTGAAAAAAAAAAGTAATATGAGGGGTCTTAATAATAATTCCTTCATATTATATATTTAAAGAAACTATATTCTTTTTTATTAAATATCTTCCATATATGTACAGACATTGTCTAATTATAATTTTATTACATTAGTAAGTCAGTAAATCTGCTTAAGGTCTCTCTCTCTTCGTCCTCTTCATTACTGAAGGTCGTGTCCTTGAAAGGTGTCTGTTGCCTCTCTTATGATGTTATTCCATTTTACACGGTCTTCAGCTTCTCGCAGGGCAGCTGCAATCGACAGTCCCGTAACAGCGGTTACCTGGTCCGACCATCGATTAGGCGATCGTCCGCGTGGTCTTTTTCCCTCTATCTTGCCTACAACCATTAGTTTGTCCAGATTGTCGGACTGTCGTCGAGCAATATGACCGAAGGCTTAAGGTAAAACAAATAAAAAAGGTAAAAAAGAAATTAAGTATATAGTACACCCATAAATATCTTCTAAAATTAAATTTAAAAAATGTACTGAGTGTAATGGAAAATATTATTATAACTCTTACATTAGTAGTCATGAAATTAATAAATTTTCACCAATGAGATAGTTGAGCAGTTTCCGGATATTAGATACTAGATAGACATAGTGTGCTGTGAATGTTAAAAAAAAAATATATATATATATATATAATTCCAAACCGTTTCTTGGAGGATTTCGTTTAATTACGTTAAAGGTTTGCGCAGACGGTGGACATTTCCCTTAGTTCAAGACGTGTACTAGTGCAATATGTGTGCGTTCAGTTTTAGCTGTTTTATTATGACCAGATAAAAAATCCGTTTCTTGGAGAAACTCGTTTAATTACTAAATAATATTAAAGGTTTGCGCAGACGGTGAATACTTCCCATGGTGTAAGATGTGTACTTATAATATGTGTGCGTTGTGCGTTCAGTTTTAGTTTAGTTTATTATGATCAGACAAAAAATACTGATTTGCTTTTTTATACCGCTGAGGTGGCAAACAATAGGATGCCGATAGTCTGTCTCTCTAGACTTTAAACCATAGACATATAAGGTAAACATTAAAGGAAATGCATGCGAACAAAATATCTCACATCTGTGTTGGCCGTAATAGGTACATAGTCTGAAAAATTAAAAATATTTTGAGCCTAACTGCTTACGCGGATCATTCAGCTGTTTAGTATGTGAAGTTAATTTGTTTTTGCTAATATATAAATAAATAATTCTATATAAATAGATAGATCCTTAGTTTAACGCACGGCTAAAGTCTCCCCCCCCCTCCCCCTTATTCATAGAAACGTCAAAAGTCTTATAAACCTATTTTAGCTATTAAACTGTCTTGTTTCTATCTTTTGTGCTGACAAAAGCTTAGCTTGGCATGAAAGTGACAAAACAATGTAATAGTTAAATTAGGTTTTAATTTTTATGCTCTTAGCATTCAGCCTGTATAAAATTTGGTAGCGCGGCTCAGAACCGAGCACCCAGTGTGTCTCTATCTGCAACAGTTCACGGTTGTCGACCCGCACCGCGCCGCCGTGCCGCCCCGCCCGGCTCAATCTGTTTCCACGTGCTATGTGTGACGTACGCGCTATACCTACTTACTAATGATAACGCATAACGCCAATCGCGAACTGAACGATCTATCGCTGCGGTCGAACTTGATACGATTGGAAATTAGTGCATCGGCACAGGGCAGATTCCACTGCGAATTTGTAATTATCCGTTCAGTATCAAGTTCTCAAATCAGAGTCTTCGGAGGGTGGAATTCTGAGTTTTGAACAGTTTACTAATAATGTCACTTACCATCAGGTGAGCCGCATGCTCGTGTGCCCCCTGTGTTGTAAAAAAAACCCTGTAAGGTCCGTCATCACATGGTACATCCTAAGGACCATATTTCTTTTTATATTGCTATGGTGGTAAACAAGCGTACGGCCGTTCTGGTGTTAAACTAGATTACCATAGCCTACGCCTGTAGACCAGGGATGTCACGTGCAAGTTGATGACCCATAAGAAGTAGAAGTAGTCTCTAGGGAAAATCATGGGTAATTCTTAGTGAAGAATTCACCAGGAAAGACCAACCGACCTGCCTTCGTTCTTATCTATCATACCTCACCGGTGCTCTGCTAGTGTATACTAATAACTTAGGGATATTGTTATATATTAAAAAAACAAACTCAAAATAGTCAGCTTTAAAAATATTATGATGTACAAAATTTTCATATCTAGATCGGTTTTCGCACTTAATATCATTATAATTAACATAACAACCTATTGATGTTGCAATACTGAGGGCTGGTACTTATATATAGTAGTATATTATATATTAGGACTCTATCTATATTAGGATATCTAGGATCGAGAGATGAGCAACAGCGTCTCTCTTAAAACATCACCTAAGTCTACCTGCGGTTGTCAACCCGCCTGTCAAGTTTAGCAACTACTGGCAAAACTCATCTTATGAGGAAGACCTATGTTCAGCAGTGGACAGTTAAAGGCTGACATAATAATAGTAATAAATTTATATTCGAATTTATATTCCATTTGAGGAAGTGTGAAAACTGGTCACGTTTTATTTAATTAGTTATTCTGTCGTCTACTACTTTTGCATTATGTTGGAACGTAACATCATGTAATATTAAATCTTGAGACGTTACTACGCTACTTACCCGAATTTCGCCAAATATGTACGAATACACGTGGCTGGGAGCGGTGCTGTTGGAAAAGTTAATTTATATTCTAAACACGCCTCCAAATTTCAGCTAAAACTTAGGTATCGTCCTCATGTTTTTATCCTTATTCCCAAACAGTCTAGTGCCTGATTTTGGAGCTTGGATTACAATACATTCATTGTAGACCAAGCACCAAAATCAGCCACTAATATATTATCAAGATATTATTAAAGTATAAAATTGTCTTAAAGTTTAGTTTGATCAGGTTTTAATCGCTATACGCACGAAAATTCCGGTACACATTTCGCAGACTTTATCGCTCATCAACTGGTCCAAAATGTAGAGGCAGTATGGCGAGGCATTAATATTGCACAAGTTAAAATAATTGCACGTTATATCCACAACTGAACATATTAACCTTGTTCTGTCAAGAATTTAATCGTACAAGTGGCTTACATTAATTTGAGCATGCCTATTAATATGGTTATTTACGTACAATCAGGACCAAAATATAGACCAAAATATACTTACTTATTTCATAACAGCGTTTTTTGTTGGCCACAACGGATTGGTCTGATTTAATTCATTGCACTTTTTGTGTTGCTATGTTGAACGCTTCTTGTTATGGTTGTACTTATCGATATTATTTATTATTAGGTAATTGAGTGCCCTTGACAACAACAAGGTATTACGAACCGGTTTTTATACGAAGTGGGAGTAAAGTTTGCTTGGATGGTAACTGTTTCACCTAGAGCGTAAGAATCAACATTTTATATTCTTAGAATTGGTAAAGTGACCTGCATTGGATAGTTGTGTTCCAACAAAGAGTGTTCTTTGATGGGTATTTCCACCATACACATGTTGAAGAATTTGGTAAGTAATCGTCTTCTATAGACATGAACACAAGATCATGGACATGAACTAAGGTATTATGCGATTTTCCACTATCTGACCTTCAGATTGAAACGACTTATGCTGTTGTCACAAGAAAACAGGTAGAACAATCTACTTAAGCAAGCCGCACAAATCTATTATAAGATCTATTATCTATATTATGTGATAAGACTTATATTATCTGCCAATAACTCGTGTTTCACACACGTGTTCCGAGATTGTAGGTACAATGCGATCTTTGTTGCAACTTGCGGTGTAATTATGTGATTTTTCTTACCGTCCATTGGTACAGGTAATTCCTTTTTAGTGATAATGACCGTGATAATGTTACAATAATAGAATGGTAAAGAATTTTAGTATGCGTACGTTTTTATTACTTCCTCCAGAGGCATGTAATATACACCTGAACAAAATTAAAACATTTTAATAGTGCTGCTCTTTAATGTGAAACTTAACTACATGTAAAATTGGGCGTTTATATTTTTAAAAATGTTTTAATTTTACGAATTACATTATCGCCAATGCCTATCGGCGGCTTTGATTTATCTTCGTACGAAGCAGATTGATCAATTTAGCATTAGGACATGCGCCCTAACGATCTTGTCTCAAGTTCGTCAAACTTTAAAATCTTTAAGATCCTTAACGACACAAACAGATATAACAGATAGGCTCATAGCGATGGGCTTTCCTGCCGAGAAGCTGGAGGCCGTCTATAGAAACCCCATAGATGAAGTGTACAGGTTCCTGGAACATATGCACAAAGATCACTACAAAATATACAACCTGTGCTCAGAGAGGTCGTACGACAAGAGCAAGTTTCACGAGAGGGTGAGTAAACATTTTTTTTATATTTTAGTAATTGTGTATAATGTGTTATCTATGTGTAACAGCTGTTAGTATGTGTCTCTTTGGATTATAGACTTTCTCACATCTTGCCCATCTCCTTCCACCTTTCATTTACTTCGTGTCAGCTTGTTGATGAATGTCATCAGACTACCTCTTTGGTAACTGACCACTATTGTTATCCTTTATATCCAGAACCCTTCTCGCCTCACAATTGTGGTTCCTCGTTGCAATCCTGTCCTCGACGTCCGTCTCTATACGATTCAAATGAATTACTGATGACAATGACTAATGATCGCCTAAAGTTTTAAGGGCGTTCAGCCATTTTTTTTTTATATATATTTACTGATGTTGGCTATAATTATTGGTTTCAATGAAATATTTCAGGTCTTTTAATATGTAATTATTTTTATTGGAATATTTAATAGTTGTTTACTATTCTGACTTATAAAAACACCAGTGGTTATGAGTTCGAATCTGACCGACTACTAAGTGTTCTGTGTGTCGGTTTAAATTTTAGTGTAATTTTTAAGTGACGAAATCCACTGTTAACAAAGTAATCCGAAGGCGTAAACTCGCTTCATGCCACGTGGGATTAAAATATGCTCAGCAAAACGTGGACGAGTAAATTTTTCCGTTCGCCACAATGGCAAGAATCGACTGACTAATGACTCCTCATCTGGGATTGACATCGTTAACATATTTTTTTTTAAATACATACTGTTTAGAATTCTTTGTAAATACAATAAAAATTTTAAACCAAATATTGTTTTCGGTGGGAAGATTACTAGAAATTGTATTCCGAAAAAGTGCTAGGAAATAGGTCAGGGTTTTCTCGGGTCAATTATATGGCACATTGTCATTGTTTTTTTTTTAAACAATGACGTTATTGAATGTTGAACAAGTCTAGTAATGTTGAAAGATAATACATACTTTTAATTTTTCCTTGTATTTATTAGCTTTAGTCTTAAAATTATTATTATGTTCCTTTTTTTTGAGGCTGTGCTTCGCAAAAAAAAAAAAACAGCAACTCCAATAGTATGAAAATAAGTGACGAAGCATCTATTGAACCCCGCGTTTTTCTTTGCGTTACAAAAAACTAAATTAATTTGTAAACACGCGATTCCAAGTTCTAAATTTAAATATTTTGATATTTTGAATCCAATCTGTCTACGAAAAAAGTTATCGTCCATCGATGTTTTCTCGTGATTGAAGTTGTATTTTGTTAAGAAGTAAAATGTATATCGTATTATACAAAATATGTATAATATATTTTATTATATCTAATATTTATTCACAAGTTATATCTAAACCTCATTTATGCCCACTCCCCACAAAATACGCGACGAGCTTTCCGAAGGTTACCCGGGACTTCATTGTACACAATTATAAAACCAGTTACTTTTATAGGTCACTTCCGGTATAGTATGTATATGCGTTTTTATTACATATTACACGTGCTGTATTCTTCCTTATCTGTTTGTGTTACTTATAGTATAAGCGTTAGGTATATTAGTGTGTGTGCGCTAAGTGCTAACGTGAATCTAGTCATGCCTATCCATACGTGCGCTATTTCACGCAGGCAAGAATTTAAGCTGATTTCTCATGGAATTGGTCACCTCTGACACTACGTTATCTGAATTTTTGAGTTCGATAATTAGTACGTATTTCTCTAACCGTCTTGTGGTAATATGCTCATGTTACTATGTACTTTTTTTATACTACGACGATGGCAAACCAGTATACAACTCGTATGGTAAACGGTCAGTGTAGTCTGTGGACGCCTGCAAAACGCCAGGTGGGTCACGTAGCGCGTTGCCGACCCTGAAGAAACCTTAATTATACCCTTTTTGCAGAATCCTAAAACAAAGATAGATTTAAAACAGACAAATCAATATATGTAGGATTTAGACTGAAAAAGCAAAAAGCTTGAAGGTGGCAGAAATTTCTATGCACATGTTTTGACATAAAGCAGTGAGCTCGTATTTTTTTTTAACAACTTCTTATCTTTAGAAGTTGCTCATTTGTTGTTGTTTGTTTTGCATGTATTTCTTTGTGTATAATATCATATATTTTTAACTCATTTTCAACCGATTTTTATAATTCTTTTTGTAATTATCAGGGCCTATTTCCGTGTTGGTTCCGTATTAATTTTGTCGCAATTGGTACCATTGTATTGTATTGCGTAAATCTATTTTATAGGTACACTATTTTACGTTATAAATATGAGTATTTTTTTTAAATCGAATCTGTTTGAGAAACTCCATCTATCCGTGTTTTTATTAGTTTAAAAAAAATCCGTGACTTTATTAGTTATTAATAATTTTGCCACGATTTTTAATAATTATTATTTCATACGTACTTTTGCAATGAAATTTTAATTTTCAAAATTTCACTAATGTTATAAATGTGAATATGAGTTTGTTTGTTGTCTTAACGACTTAATCGATCCAATACTATATGGGATGGAGAAGGGATACAGGCTACTTTTTGTCCCGGTCAGTGAAAATATCCCGTTCGCGCAAAAAAAGTCGCGGTTTAAAGTTAGTTACAAATAAAGATATACACGAGGTATCTCATTACTGACTTAATTGACACACATTTGACAGACGAAAGAGCATAACCGTCTGGCCGGACCAATCGTGAATAACCATACCCGTATCTTTTAATTACGTCAGAGCCGTACGAAACGATTACGAAATTACTATCTGAATTTTTATACCCCAATTATAATATTAATTTGTGTTGCTATAACAGAAACAAGTTTATAACGCCACTAACGTTATGGTGTTGGAGTCTCTTATCGATCGCCTTCAAAATGGAGGTTCTAATTTTGATTGTATTTTCTTTATATATATATTTGTGTTACCTTATGTGTGAAACATGATATGACCAGAATGGGAGTGAATGCGGAAATGTCTGCGAATAGAGAGGAATGGAAGAGAAGAATATATTACGCAGACTCCAAGTAATAATTGAGATAAGGTGAAGATGATGATGATGTTAGTTTATGAGTAGTGAGGTAAAAAATATAAAAAGTCAGTTCAGTCGTTAGTTAGACACCGATTTGGATTTTTTTTTATTTTTTATTTATTTATTTTTTTATTGGAAGGCTCAAAATTTTCGTTGTTTCTGCTCATATTTCTTTGGTGGAAATGAAGGGATGGTAACGATTTCGATATTCATGCTATACAAACTAAAACTTGCACTTTTTCCGCGTATATCCTCGTTTCGGATTCCATTTATGTTATGTATACAGTTTATATATATATATATATATATATATATATATATATATATATATATATATATATATATATATATATATATATATATATATATATATATATATGTTTGAAATACGTAAACTTTTATACGTCGGCAGTATAATGATACCTATTCATTGAAACGGGAAGATGATTCCACGGATTCTTAGTAGTTATAGAATCATATATATTCAACGTTTTCCTGTACAAATAACTAATCGTTTTTTTAGCGGCTGTATATTTTTTTTATGCACGATATATGACTACGCCATCCTGAGTGAAAACAGCGACAATACGGTCAGTGACAATCGAAAAGCGAATGTTTCGATTCTACTTTTAAAGGTTGGCCTATTTTTTTTATGTAACTTAGAGTTTCAGACTAGTGGCCCACCTGATGGAAACTGGTAACCGTCGCCTATAGATATGAGCAGTACCATGGGCGTAACACAGTATACTGTTTCGCCCATGATCCCCCTCATGCGTCGACTCAGGTATTACTCGTCTGTACCCTTTAAATTCACTGCTATATCTTAACCTTCAAACCGAAACACAACCATGCAAATACAACTGCTTCACGGTTGAAACACGGATGGGACAAAGGTGCCCAGGCAATCGACTTTCGTACAGTCTCCCTCTGGTGCTATGCAGGATCACTTATTGTTTATTTCCATCTCGTAATGACGAGCTGACAGTCCACCTGATGGAAAGTGGTAACCGTTGATATCATAGTATATATTGTGACGCCAGTGGTACCCATGCGTTTCCATTCCTTATGTTTTATTGTCACCATTCCATACCCTCTAATTTCACTACCATATCCCACTCTTCAACAGTCACGAAAACATAGCTACTTAGCCTACGGATGAAACGGCCTTACTGTTCTTACTATAGTTTACTAACTGTATCTCACGGATTCGCCTGCGTGAATCAGCACATAAAATATCTTATTTGCTTCCGTGTACCAAATTTCATACAAACCGATCAGTGGTTGCGTGGAAGAGGAGGATACATCCATCAGTCCTTTACTGTCAAACAAGCGTCCAGTCTGTCAGATGGTAAGCGGTCACTGCAGCTCATGAATGCTTAGCATCAGAGGCAGCAATCGTACGTGTCAGCGACCCTTGTGATGTAAAGATCTTTTGTCACGGTATTCTACAGTTTCTGCACCATATCTCACGATTCAAACTGGAACAAAGCATGCAAGCAAGCTGCTTACCGTCAGGAATAGGTGAATTTTGTCTCACCTATTCATACGGAGGATTATTCTTTTAATTTTACATAATTTTTTTAATTAAAAACAAGATGTGAAAGGTCAAAGGACAATCAGTGATAGGGGTTCATCCTTATTATTGGGTTGTTACCAGAAATTTGTTTAATTCAGATTTCTGATACTGTAATACAAAAAGTGTGGGAAGATCGAAATTTGTAATTGTTTTTTTTTTTCAATGTAAATTTTTTTTAACATCTTTGTAGGGATTTTGAGTCGAAATTTAATTGATGATCATGAGGCTCTCATCATTAGGATTTTCAAGCCTATAAGCTATGCCTTATGGTCCCGGCTTAGAATGCGCCACCTCTTCCTTTTCCGTGGATGTCATAAGAGAAGACTAAAGGAACTTAATGTTCGAGGGATGGACAGCAGTTTCCTTCTTAAAATATCTCTAATGTCCTAACTGCGGTTGCTAATCCGCCAAGAGGAACATCCTCTTAAAACATCTT